CCGTGAAAATATTGTCGGGCATAAACCGGTCCGTGGCGCAAAAAAGGTTGGAGACCGCTGCTCTAAAGGACCTTGAAAAGCTTATCCACGCATTTATCACATCCAGACTGGACTACTATAACTCCCTCTACTTGGGCCTCCAACATTCCTCAGTTAGTTCAGAATGCAGCTGCGCCTCTTAACAGGTACTAGGATCTATGAACACATTACTCCACTTTTAGCCAGCTTACATTGGCTCCCTGTTAAATATCGTATAGATTTTAAAATTCTTTTGTTCTAAATAATTTAGCACCCAGCTATCTTTCCGAACTCCTCCACTTGTACAATCCCAATAGAGCACTAAGATCGTCCAATCAGATGCTAGCACAACCCAGGTCTCGACTGAAGTTGAGGTGACCGGGCCTTTGCAACCATAACACCTAGACTCTGGAATAACCTCCCTGTTCATATTCGTACCATCTTTTTACTTTGGCTTTTGATTCTAACTAGTTGGTTGTTATCTGGCTTGTTGTGTTGTCACCTATTGTTTCCTGCCCTGTTTTCTTATTGTTTTGTTTTAATTGTCTCATGCTTTTACTGACTGTGAAGCACTATGGTCAGCTTTGTTGTTTTTAATATGTGCTATAAATACATTTTGATTTGATGTGTTCTTTTAGACCTGTTACTAAAAGTTAAAAATAATAATAATAAAAAAATAATCACTGATAATAACTGAAGCCTTTTCTCCTGTCATTGCATGTTACATTTATGTGTGTGTTTGACCGTGTGCCTGTGTGCACGTCCCTTACCAGGCCAGCTGGTGACACACGGCTGAACTCAGCGAGGACCCTGGCCTCTCCGTAAGCATTCACCAGCACCCACATAATAGGAAAGAGCAGGGGCAAAATGGGCAGAACACCCATTAGCTGAAAAAACAAGTCAAACATACATTTCTGTCCAGTCTTTTTCATTTTCAAGAATCTTCTTAGTACAATCATTATGTTTGGTGCCAACACAGAACAAACTGTTCTGAAAGTTTATTATCAATAGTAATCACAAAAAACACCTTTACATACACACTGGTTGGCTGTGTCCCTATATCACTAATACATCACAGTCTTTGCTGTCTGCACATTTACTGCTTTGAATTATTTTACCTGAAGCTGAACAAAATTGTAGCATCTAGGAGTGAGGCTGGGGGCAGTAAGAAGAAAGCGAATAGTGTTAACAAGCAGGAATGCCACCTAGAAGAGGGGAGAAAAACACACATAAGACTGCACATATTTACATGTTCAAATACAATGCAGAATACATTAGGAAGAACACACCAACTACTCACCAGTACAACAGGACAGACTAGCTTGGTGATAACCGACTGTACTGTAAATCTCTCATTATCGAGCACAGTGACTGGGCGAGACAGGGCCAACTCCAAATTGTTCCTGTTGGATAAAAGACAGACAGAAATACAAATGATTTTACCAAAGTTTAACAACTTTTTTCCATTACCATTCATTCCCATTGATACTCTGCTATATCTTCTTATGTTCATCATCATTCTTCATCTGTGAGATGTTATGGTTTCTTTTCATTACATCATAGTCACATGACAGCAGTATAGCCAATTAACTTTTGTCAATATGGGTACGAGCGCAAGCTAATGTTCAAATAAAATGTCACAATTGAGAAAAAGTGTGATTTCTTAATATTTACTTTCCAAAAGCCACAGACTGAGTTGCAGTACTGTTTCCTGAAGCAACCTTTTGATAATAAAAAGGTCAGAAGAAAATTAACTCAAGTTTGATGCAGATCCAGGATAACAGGATCAAAGTTATACTTACCTCCACTATAATTTCACAGATTAAATAATGTTCATTTATACTAAACAGCTGTATTGTGGTCTCATTCAGTCTTCTGGGTTATCTAGCAAACTGCAAATGGGAAGCAGTGCTCCTTTTGGAGAACAGTAACTTTGCTGTTTATTTTTCTGTTATGGTGGGCAGATGAAGATTCGCCCTTTGACCCTTTTAAACAGCACACTGGTGCAGTAATGTGCATAACCTAATGTTGACCTAAGGTGAATGTCATGTTTCGCTTCCATCCCACCAAAAAAATGCATATGTACATAAAAGGCTGTATAATACTTTTAACATTCATTTTTAATATTTGAGGATATTAGAAGTAATTCCAATATTTGGTTTAAAAAACAACAAAACAAAAAAAAAAACATGGCTATGTTCCCTACGTTATCGTGTCCAGGACTGGAGTACGGACCACTCTGAAGAGGCGGTGTTGCTGGGGGCTCTGGGGTCCTCTTTTCTCATTGGCCCGTGGTGAAGGAGGAGGGGAGAATGGTGGGAATAAATCTCCTGGTTCAAGCACAATGTGCTCATCATCCTGAGGAGTAAAAATGAAAAGAAAAAAATTACAATGATAATTTCTGAGATACCAGATATCGGTCTTACTGACAGGTTAAGGACCTTCTATGGCCCTGTCAGCTCTCCTAGATTTAACTGCCTGTCTGCTGCACTGTCAACCAAAGTCTCAAGACTATGCTGTGAGACACAGCAAACCTTTTAGCAAAAGCAAGTACTGATGTGCCATCCTAGAGGAGTTGGACCTCCTGTGAAACATGTGTATGGTGCAGGTATCGTCTCGTGCTTCCAGTAGAAAAGATGAAAACTCAGCAGAGCATCCAGTCAGAAAATGATGATGAGGGGAAAAAAGGTCAGAGGTCTCCACCTGTAAAACCATTTATTTTTTTGCCTCCATTTTCATAAACAGTGTAAAAAACAATGTATTAAATAGAATTTTTTTACACAAACTAATAACAAAAATATCCTGTCCATCCTTTTTACCACATATCATACAACAATGCATTAGTTTTGTCTAAATGTGGCTGATAAACTTCCAGTTGATGTACTTGTTATTCCTACCAGCAGAGGAAATACCGGGTGAGATTGTGTCTAATACCTAAATACAGGCTTAAGCTGCTGATACAAATTCTGATACGTGTTGCTTTTTAAAGCTTTTGAAAATTGTTATTTACTCAAAAAAAAATAGATACTATCTTACAAAAGTATACTACAGTTTACGATAATGCAGCTAAATACAGACTAACCTTAATGCCTCTAAGCGATGCAAAGGCCTCTTGACCAGGTCTCAAAGCAATGATATCGCCTTCCACCAGTAGACTGACAGGCAGGTTAACCAGCTGAGAGTCACGATAGGTCCAGTGGAGGGACCACGATGGGGATGAGGGTGTGTAAAGGTCAGGGTAGAGAGACGAAGGCCATTTCACTTCACCAACACAGGTTGACAAGTAATCTAGGATAATGAATTACAAAATTGAGGACTCATTTAGAGAACAAAATAGGGTGAGAAGAATTGAATTTGAAGAAAGTAAAACAAAAAACAATTACAACAACAACAACAACAACAAACAAAACTAAACAAACAAATGCAACTTTTACAGAGATTACAAGTTCCTCAATTCTTCTGTGTTTGCAGTAATGCAGTCATGAGCCTTACTCACCACTGAGCTGCGTGATGATGGCCTTTAGGCGCCATATCATCTCATTTCGCTTCAGTCTCTCCTGGCGTCCACCCAGACACAGGTTCAGCACCAAGAGGAGAAGGAGAGCAGCGGCATTCAGGAGCTCTATACCAGAACTGTGGAGGTGAAGACAGAAGACCACAGCTATGAATGAAAGATCAAAGAATACAGTGATGAAATATCTCTCATCATGGTGGACGAGGGAGCTACATTTCTCAATTACCTGGCTGTGCTAAACATTTTAATGCAAACTAACTAGAATTTCAACCAGTGCTTTTTTTTGGAAAGGATGCTATCTTGTAGAGAATCCCTCATGTTACACTGCTGCTGAGAAGAAAGCTCTCAAAGCACTGACAGCTATGTGGACTTACCACCGTGTGGAGGTGAAGAATAAGAAATTACCACACAGAACAAAAGTTCTGGTAGTATTAGTTAACATTAATGTCGGGTCATAACAGTAAAGCTAACAAAGTACTTTTCTAATGTCAGGTCATTGTGCCAATGTCATTTTCTACAGTTTAAAAGAGCCACAACTGACAGCCTCGGTGCCCTAGAAAAGCAGGGATTGGTGCAATTTAAGGCAATGTAAGGCAGGGTTAGGAGAGGTGTGCTCACATATTGGCGCCATGCTCCACAGCCTTCTGGCATGTGTAAATAAACATTGATAAGTGCATTCGATAGCACAGCAACTTTCTGGCATGAAGTGTGACGTTAGAATCGAAAACACTTAAAGGATGGCTGGAGGGCAAAGAAGTATTGAAAGTAAAACCAGCAGTATTGTTTTTGTCGTGTTCCAGTAGTTTTGACATCACCTGAAAACTATGGTATTATTGTATTGACCAGCTTATCTCACTATGCGACACATAATAAGACATTTAAATTATTTGTGTGTAGATTTCTAAAGTGCCATAAACATATTTTTTTTGCTTAGACTGAGCCTAAGCAAAAATCCTTATCCCATAACTTCTCCCATAGCACCTCTCAGAGGTGAGACAACTTCTATTCCTTTGTGTATGTTTTAGACTCTCTTCTTTGTAAAGAGTAAAATCGATGAATCTTCAAAATTGTGTGGTGACATGACCAATTTCTTCTTATGGTTCCTTAGAAACAGAGGGTGGCACAACTTCCCCTCTGGCACAAATCACCCCACTTTTCACTACACGCTATACGTCAAACTGACAACGACTTGAAATAAACTGGTGTTAAATATGGTATGAAAACATGTTACTACAACAGATGTTCACTTATTATTAAAATATGACAAATTAACATCTGAAAAAACTAATGAATTGGAACTGAAAAGAGAGGCGCATTGTGCCATTATGAATGATGCATATTTAACATTGGTTTATGATATGTGCTTTTCTTCTTCCTCTATTTGGAGTATAATGTGTAATGTTCAAAATGCACGACGAGAGGTGCCCGGGGAGCGGCATTATTCATTATCGGAGAGTGTGATTAATGCAAAAAAAACACCTTTGTTTAGAGCAGTGATGTCCAAACTAGGGCTGCCACGATTACGACGACTAGTCACGATTACGTCGACTATCAAAATCGTCGACGACTGATTTAATAGTCGACACGTCGTTTGAAGCTTTGTAAGATCCCAAAAGACGCAGGAATAAGTAGTAGGATTTAAGAGTGTAATAACGGACTGAAACACAAGATGGCAGCACTGCATGTACAAGGATGCCAGCTGCCGTTAAACCCCGAAGAAGAAGAAGTAGCTCTGTCCCAGAATTCATACCGCAGCCCTGCTCAGTTTCCAACAATGGTGGCAGCTAGTTAGTTTTAATATTACTCTTATTATTCTTTCTGGGTCACAAAATAAACGTTTAACATATTTTCAGGCGAGTATGTA